TAATCTATTCTATTATATGATTTTATATACTTTATATAAAGGTAAAGAAATTGATGCATTTTAAAATATAAGGATTATTATTATTTATGGCGCAGCGAATTGTTTGACTAAAAATAAAATCATTCATTTCTTCCGTTATTTATTTCATATTCAATTGCTTCAGGCTGAATGGTTTTTCCATTTATTTTCTAATTATTTGGAAGGGGAGTTTTTTATTCAATAAGCTTGTATTATAAATTATAATCAGTTCGTTTTAATAATAGGTAAGCATTTCTCTTTTTGCAATATTTTTTTTTATACTAACTATTAGGGATTGGAATCGATTTAATCGAATCTCCAAATTTTTTTTCATTGACGTTCAACCTGGCTTCATACGAGTTTCTAATTTTAGCAAATAGGCAGATTGAAAAATACTTTGGAGTTAGATCGATTAATATGTTAAAAATAAAAAAGATTCGATTCGATTCGATTCATTTTCTAGATACGCTAAATATATAAATAATTATTTATGACTTAATCATCGCAGTGTGTATTGGGAGAATAATTGCCGCACATATTCATTCCATAAAAATTTTGTATTAACAAAAAAAAAATAGGACAAGTTATACTCCGATTTACCTTTTTTTTTTTTTTTTAGAAAAATATTATTTTTTACACTAAAAAAAATTTATGGATGAAAAAAGACTTTTTTTTTTAAGTAAATATCATCTACTTAAATACTGCATTGCTACTGTGTACTGTGAAGTATCTCGTGAAGTTACTCCGCTCAAAATATATCTTTTTGTGAAAATGAGTTCAAATAATTTAAAATAAATAAATTTAATTAATATATAACATAATCAACTTGTATTTTATTTATAAACTTATAATAAAATCTATTCTTCAGTTATAATAATATTCATGAAATAATATTTGAAATACTAAAATTTTAAAATAATACCGTGACTACAAATAGATATGGGAATGGGACAGTGAGATAAGGGCTATTTTCTATAAAAATCTGTCCATGCCTAATGGTATGACGGCAAGTATAACTAGGAGGTAACAAGAAAATATATAATAATACACTTTTATTTGTCATTATATTCGTTTTTATTATCATCGCATATTTTATCATGTTACCAGATGTATCATTAGTCAATTCCAGATCGTTGGAAATGCTAACCGTTAGGTTCTAAGTTCAAATTAGCGTAAACTTTTTTTAGCGAGCATAAATTATTTTAAAATTTTCGAGGATGAATATTCTTACAAAATCTCTATGTTCATAAAAAAAAATGAATACATAATAATATTAGGGCACTTATAACTTAAAGGATTAATTAGTCACAGTTTAAGTTATCATTAATAAAAGAATATTTACAAATCTATGTATATAATAGATTATGATATCATAATAAAGTTATTCAAAAATGAAAATTCCCTACAAAAGGTATTCAGCTTTCACTTTCAATAAGAGATTTCTGCGAACGAATTATTTTGTGTCATGCAATCATAAGTTGCTATAACACAACATGTAATGCAAATTTTCGAATTAGTTCGTACGATGATGATTTGATTTTAATTCACATTCAGAAAATATATCTGAATTTAGTCGTCATTAAAGTCAGGTATTCCTATGAGGGAAAATTGGACTCAACAGCCCATAGAAAAAATGCGTGTTAGTATTCATTCTAACAAAAATTTGTTTCAAAGTCTCTGCCTGTATGATGACTCGTGAATCATCATAGACTTTTTTGATAAGAAAAGAAATCACATTACCTTTTAACAAACTTATTTGATAAATAAAAACAAACACTTTATCAACGCGCGTTAGTTTCACTTTTATGTGATGAACAAATCCGTGATCATCCCCTTAATAAAAAGCAGAAATTTATCATAAAAGCTTAAGTTTGTTTAAATATTACAATTAACAAACTTAACTTAATTCTTCCGACTAATATTTCCAAGGCTAGTCTAGTAACCGTGTAACTAGTTATGTGCAATAATTCAAATTATTACCAAACATCTATGATTTGTTATAAAATTTTGATCCTCGGATAAATAGAGTATATTCTTTTCCTGGATTAGTATGGAAATTTAAATTTATTTGTTTCTTTAGACTTTTTGTAGAAGAATACTCTTTTCTTCTTATACAAAGCGAGACCAATAACAGGATCATATTAATAGCAATATGATTCTTTTTTTATAAAATTTATTGAAGAGATAACATAACTTATAAAAAAAAACTAGACTTTTAATCCACACGTAACACAATAATTGACTTTTACTCGTCATGTGCAGTATTTTATATATTTTACACGAGTCACACAATATTACATCAGCTGAGAAGGTGATAACCTGATTTTTTCTTGTTGGCATTCAAATTTATTGGAAAATAAAAAAAATAATATATAAATAAGAAATATTTAAGTTAATATACTATTATTTCTGATGAGGATTTTAAAGAGAAATCAGATTCAAACTTGATACTTATTTCGATTATTAAAATTTTTTAATCGCACAATCTTGTTTGTATTTTTTTTTAATAAAAAAATATTGATCCATGTGTTGAATAGATGAAACTTACTTATTTATTTTTGATAATTTATTTTATGTTAAATTGTCCATATATATAAAAAATGAATTATGGTTAATATGGTTCAACGATTTCAACTCCCAAAGTTTAAATTCAAATTGCAAAATAAAAAAGCTCACCTAAATAATATTCTTGTGGTATGCATGTTCCAATTTTCACTTCAAAATTCATAATATTCATGTAATAATTCAACGATGCTATTTATGTTTTTTTTTGAATTCTGCCTTATTACGAAAAATATCCAATCGACTTACAAAAAATAATGAAGAATAATGAATTGATTTCACTATCTAGTACGCCTATTTAATTTTTAGATTATATTTAGGGTATCAATGGTTTACTAAATTATGGATATACTAAAAATTGTAAGTATTAATTAAATTTCAGTGATTTTCCCAATATTTGTTTATTTATTTAATATAATTAGCATACTCTTTATAATAGTTTTAATAGTTTAATTTTATTCGTAATAATTGATTTTTTTATTTTCTTTTTACTTGCTTTTATTAGAATCCGAATGATTCTTGCAATGGCATTATACATTAATTATGAAGCCTTTTATTAAACAAATATGATAATTACATGTGAATTCAAGAAATTTTAAAAATATTTTCATAACTGTTAATTCTTCTTAAAACATAATATGATATAAATCACATTATTAAAATTCGCATTTCAATTAGAATTATTATCGAGAAAAGGATTTAAGAAAGAAATTATCTCGTGGTATGAAAAGAAAAGGTTAAAAGTTGGATTTGTGATTCTGGACGCCGCTTGAGCCCAGAATCAACTAATCAAATTAGATTTAGTATGTTGGACAAAAATTTTACTTTATTAGAATACTGTTATATCAAATATAGGAGAATTTGAAAATTTTGAACATAATATATTTTATAATCATGTCATGCATTTTGATTTAATATTCTAAAGTATCTTTCAGTTTACATAATTCTGACCATGTTTCAGGCGGTTTATTTTAGTAATGTCTTACTTGCATATACTACTAACAATATAAATTGATTGAATTAAATTTCAGTAATTTTGCTTTTCCAAAATAAACGAACTAAAATTTATATTTTCTTACCTCCTATAATTTTTTTACAGAAATTTTAAAAGAGGCAAAAAGCAAAAGTCAAAGGTGAGAAAAAGAAAAAAAATGTTGTGCCATATGGCAATGATATTTCCATACTCCAGGGTTATCCACAAGATTTCTAAAAGCCGACCGCTTATCAAATAAGAAAAAAGGTTACAATTATCAGAAAGAATTTTCCACAAATTATTATTGACAGGTATTATTGAGGTATTCACGTTTGATTGTATGAACTGTATATAATGCGGAATCGTCAAATTCTGTTCCACCACTGATGTGATGTCGATGTGTAATAATAAAATGAATAGAATAATCGAATCTTTATACTGCGTTAAATAATATTTACCATTTGAAACGGATGCTCCGTCATTAGTATCTGAATTTATTTATTTATTTTTTTAATAAAATTTATATATAAAACGAAATTACGTAAATTTAAATAATTCTCAATGGTAAAATATAAAGCAACAACTTCTCCAAAAATATTAAAGGTAAAATCATTATTAGCTGCGGAACGATATGTATCTATAAATCATTATCAAAAAAATGCCTTTAGACTTTTTTTATTTTGGTAAAGCTCACGCTGTTTCTTAATTATTATGAGGCTAAAGATTAGATTTTGACTGCAATGGCAGTGTAGTTAATAATTCAGGCTCTATAATTCCTTCATATCCGTCGCCATTTGCAATTTTTTTTTTCAGATTAATAAGAGTCACAATATATACTGTATGTATATATATATATATATTATATATATTATGATCTAATTCGAAATGTGCGAAAAATTTCATTTGCTACGAGAATTGAAGTTATGGCGATGGAGTTTATATTTGTCTTACACATTTCCTGCAGTACATGAATGAATTAAAAATTAGTAACTTAACTTTTCATTATCATTATTGTGTACCATTTAATTATAATTATTATTAATGCAATTAGGGAAAGGCGTGAGTAATTAATTCATACTTAACAAAGCTTATTATAATCTTCTAACACTACATAAGTGTGTCGAGCGATGAAGATATTCTTTCATTGTAAGTAGAAGGAATTATTTTTTGAATTAATTTATTCGTTTAGGTCGATTCTTTATAGATTTTGGCCATGCAAATAAGCTTTAAAAGACATTTAGTTGCAAACGTTGTTCAACAACCGGTATACCATAAATAGAATGTTAATAAAATATTGTATCGATTTTATTAATTGCAAAGGAAAATATATAATCGTTTGGAAGGATAAATTATCCAGGTAGCGGTTATGTTTGAGCATGGAACAAATCCAATTCGATATTTCAATGATAATATATCATAAAACAAAGCACTTGCAATAAGTGAAAAAATGATATATATATTTAATAAAGTATTAAAATTTAAGATATTTGTGAATAAAAATGAGAACGGCGACTTGAACAAAAGGCAATTAAAGCTAGATATTGGAACCGGCTTTTGGTCGCACTTTGACCTGGGTGATGGATTAGAAGACGTTCCTAATTTCTAATTGTAATATAGCCTTTCACATCCGAAATATTCGATTCTTCTATTTAAACAGAAAGGATAATTATAGGACAGTTACAATGCAAAAAATCATTCAACTTTTATCCGTATATACCCGGATATTACTCGGGTTTATATGATAAAGCTGAACAGAGTAATACCCGTTCGGGTAACCTTTTTTTTTATCCTTAAATTCTTACGGGGCGCAGCTCTGATAAGCATTGGGCACAGGTACCTTAGCTTCTAACGATTGCGGACGGCGTATACTTACCGACATAATAAATGATTGTAAGAAGGCGCAATGGATGCAAGTTGAATTGGACGCAAAATATGCTATTTTGTGAAGATAATAAAGAACAAATTAATTTTTTAGTTCTTTTATGTTTCTTATTATTTTTTTTCCTAAACTAATTAATAAAAAATAAGTAAAAATTGAATTGATCAAAATGATCAACAGACAGATTTGAGCTGCGACCCGTCAGAATTCAAGGATCACGGATATAAAAGTTTTTCCAGATCCCTTAACGGCTATTTGCTCCGAATAATATTGTTAAAGTTATTTTTTAATTAAATTAAGTTACCTTTTTCGATAGACGAAATAGGTGAATTTTTGTTGTTCCTATATAAAGTAGCGTTAATCCGCATTCAATTACATCTTATTCAATAGCTATATTTTGATTCCTATTAATATTAAATTAGTTCCAGACCAATTAATAAATAATTGGCTTTGGCAATTTTCCCGGATCGTATCCTGGCTAGATAAAAAACGGGTACAAAACGGAAATTACCCAGGTAATACCCCGAGTAAACGGGTAACGGGTCGCAGCTCTAATGTATGTTAATAAATCCTGTTATTCTTCTGGCATATATATAAGTACGTTGAATTGAGTTCGTTAATTAAAACACATCAATCAGATAGAATATACCATGGCGACAATTAAATCGTTCGTTATTTCACCGAATATTAAACATGTCGTTACTTACCATAGCGATAGTTCATTGACTATTTGGGACGTTGATACTGATGTAAAAACGGTCAAATTCGTCAAAAACTTCAAATTAGATATTTTGGATTATCGTAAATTAAGATTATCAAACAATGAAATATTGCTTTATAATTGCAAATACTCTTGTATCATAAATATAGTAACTTCTAAGAATTCACAATTGCCTTTGAAAATTATAGATAATGCACTGTTTCTCCCAAATGGAGACATTTTAGTGCAAAACTTTCAGAATATATATGTGTATTCAAACGCATCATTACAGAAATGGTGCTTATATGAATTTACGAGTCGGGATAATTTGATCAACGTCAATCGTAAATTTCAACAAAATGAAATGATTTTTTTTAAACGTTATAATGTCTTGTTTCAATTAAATACTGAAAAAATGATAATTGAAAATTACTATGACATTCCTTATAAATGCTCAAGTTTAAATTGGATTGAGGGGACGATAAATGAAGAAGGAAGTCTTTTTTCTATATGTTGCGAAGAAGATTCTCCTACAATGATACATGTGCATGTATTTTCAATGAATAATGGATTTTTAATATCATCAAGTGAGCAGTTTATTAACTATTATTATTATATATTTAACTAATGTGATGGCTAACTGTTTTTCTATAGGAAATGTCGAGTGGCTTTATGAAAAACCAAATATACAATTTATTTACACCAAGCATACTGAACTTTTGATGTTGCATATAGGTAATTGTAAGGAGCGCAAGATTGAATACATGATGATGTTACCATATGACCTTTCATACATATATAAGGATGAATTTGTAATTCAGGAAAACTATAATGACAATTACATGATTACAGAAACTTTTACATTAACACAATTTATAATTATGTTACCTATCGGTAATCAAATCAACTTTATCGACTTTAACATGCCTGTGGAGAAGTTATATGATCAGATGAAGAATGATCCCAACCTATTACTTTATTTAAATTTCAACGACTTCAAAAATATCATCAGAAATTTAGATCAGGACGGTGAAAATCTTTGTTGTGTAGGGAAAAAATTGAAATGGCAATTTGAGGAAAATTCGTTGAAAGTTTTTAAATTAGATCAAATACAAGATCAGCGGAAATTTAGATTAGATTTTGAATATAAAGAAATTAAACAACTTCAAATTCTAAGTAATGATGATGTAGTATGCTATGGCAAAAAAATTTATGTGTTTGGATTTGATGAAACGACTAAAAAGATTATTCTTAGATATTTTTATCGTATTCTTGAGGAATTTCTTACAAAAAAAAGTCTTCCAAACCCAGACTTAGACATTTTGTTTTCTACTTCAATTTCACTACAGGAGATAATTACAGTATCTCTATGTACAAGAAAGTATCTTGCTGAAATGTCCGGTAAAATCATTGATATTGCCATTGACTGGAAGAAAAAGGATGATTCAAGAGGTGAAATATTACTTGATTTAATTCTTAATAAGTTACTTGAACTATTGACTGAAGATATTGCGATGAATAATAGAATCTGTGATATTATTACAAAACATCTGCCACATTTCAATCCTATTATTTACTCAAAGTTTATTTCCGTTACATCACTTATTCCAAATACATTTATAAGAAAACATGCTTCAATCGGCAAAATGAAATTGGTCGGTTATAATTATAAAGCTCATAACCTTCAAATATATAGTTCTACAGAAAATTACGTCATTCAACGATTTTTGAAAATTAGTGAAGTCTTTAAAAAGTTTATACATTATAAGCTTTATGATGGAAAACCTTCTATTAATTTTGTTGTACCTTACACGGGTTTTACAAAGTATCCACCTGATTACAATTACTGGAAGGAATTACAAAGACCAAAAGAAAATCCATTCATCACTTTAGTTGACAAAACATTTTACGATAGTTGGAATGCTGAGGCAATAATTAATTTCAAATGGAATACCTTTGGAAGATTATATCATTATATTTTTTGGGGGTGTTTTAACATGTATTTACTCACTTTTGGAATAGGTTCAACATGGTCTTCACCTATTATGACAAATGATATGAGAAATATTTTTTTAAGTATTAGCATTATTATTGGTTCATTCCATATTTTTCACGAAATTAGACAATTCTGCTGGAATCGTAAAAAGTATATCAAAGATATATGGAATTGGTTTGGTATGTATTTTAAATTTAGATAATATTTTTACAAGATCATTACTTTAGATATAATTAAAATTTTTTGTGTTCTACTTTTTTTTAGATCTTTTAGCATTTATTGTCCCAGTAGGCACTTCCTTATTTTGGTTATGTTATGCAAAACCTTCGAAAGCACTGATTTCTATATCAAATCTATTCTTATACTTTAAATTTATAACATTCCTGAGGGCTCTCGATTATTTTGGCTCTAATTTTACTATCATTGTTGGTGTGGCTAAGAGAATATTTTCTTTCTTATTGATCTTATTTATTCTCATATTTGGCTTTGCACATGCTTTTTATATTATTTTGACCCCTGATCAAAGTTATGATTTGAACGTACCTGTTAAAAATAACGATTCGAATAATCCCTGGAATCTCGCTGAGAAATATCAATCGGTTTCTTCAGATGGCAAGATCAATACCGAAACAGCTTTTATTCATCATCCCGAATTTAAGTTAAATTTGTTTTCCACTTATCAAACTTCAATATTGGCAATGTATATGTTTTTAACGGGAGATTCATCAGTACTTGACTCATGGTCTTATCTGGAAAATCCGTTCATGACGATTCTATTAGTCATGTTTTCAATCTTGATTGTTGTTTATCTCATGAATTTATTTATTGGGTTGCTTAACTTAGAAATTGAACATAATAGAACGCATTTCCTGTTTATGCTTGAAAAAGCAAATGTTTTGGCAGAGATTGAGCTTTTTGCCCTATTACCAAATCAGCGAAGGTGGAAACATTGGTTTCCGGATGTAATGTAAGTTATTTGTAATAGATTGACTTCATAATTAATGTGCTCACATTTTTATAAAAATATAGATTCTATGATGTTCCAATTGAAGACGTGCAGCAAAGGATTAAAGATATAGACAATAATCCATCATTATTTAATTCACCACATATTTCTGGCCAATTAAGAAAGCTGGCCAAGTTAAAAGATCCTAAAGAAGATTATGAAAATTTAGTAAATAGATTTAAAGATGAAATTAGAATCCTTTTAAACTAGACTAGATAAAAATGGAGTGAAAATGGTAATGCACATGAGTTAAAAAAATTACGGTAGGGATGACACGAATTTATAAAAATCTAACAAATAAAATGATTTATTTAAGTTAAGAACATTTCGGCCTAAACTTATTCAATTAATATCTGAGATTACCGAAATTACTATATAAATTATATCATTATATCAAAATCTTACAAATTGCAAACCTTAATAAATACATATTCCTATCTAATTTAATCTTATGGAATTTCTTATTAAAATTTCACACTAAATATATGTATATTGTATTTACGATCAAGAGCATAATTCCTTGACTATGATTGTTTTGTTTATCATTCATAAGTTATTGTGCTTAATTGATTGACATTACAAATTGACTATTTTCAACGCAAACAACAACGAAATCGTCATTTTATGATGTTAACTAGAAATTGTCAAATAGCATAAGAAATTTAAAATAATAATATAAAAATTTGCAAAAAATATATTAACATTTTCACACAATTGTTAATGTTAAATATCTCAAAATTCAATAATTAAAATTGAACCAAAATTCAATATATTATTAATATAATCTAATTTATAAGACATAAAAGTATGAGCTAATTTAAATCACAAATTATTGAGAAATTAAATATATTATTTAATTTATAAAAAATAATTAACAAGAATTTATGCTATTATATATATTGATATTCACAACAACTAATGATTCGAATTAGCACAAATTTTTATATGTGATAGAACTGGATTGCGTTTATAATATATTAAATTTTGATTCAATTTGAATCACTGGGATTTGAAATATTCAACAGTTACAATCATATGCGTAAACTTTTAAAGACTATTTATAATAAATAATATTAAAATTTTCACAATTAATAAATTATAATTTATATTAATATATTATATCTATTATTAAAAATTATTTTTAATTACATATAAATTTTATTTTAACAATTACAAACTATATTTTTGATAAATATATTTTATATATAGTGTTATTAAATAAATATTTATAAAATATAAATAAAACAAATAATTTTTTACCTATTTATAAAAATAATTTAATACTTAATTTAAATTACTTATTTAAACTTAAGGCTTCTATTTAATTAAATGAATATATTAATATTAATATTTATATATTTTATA